TTCTCGCTATTCAATACTTGGTCTTATATCAAATCCAATTTCATATAATTAAATTTCGAAATCACAATATTTCTTTTACAATCGAACTCACTACTCCATAACGAGTAACCCCGCATTACGAAATAAAATTAAAAATAATAAAGATTTGTATATATTTCAACATCTCAGTAGCACTCGAAGGAAAAATGTTCAACGAAACAAAATTTAAGTGAGAAAGGTAAAAGCAATGTGCATACATATATCCTCTTTTACATGAATAAAATTTCAGTTCATTCCAGTAAATGTTTAGAAGAAATTGAATGAATAATTTAAAACATAATTTATCTGTGAGTAAAGCAGTCATGATAAAGATATGAATGGAGAGGAGACCGACTCAGAGCTATATATATCTTTTGGGTGAATGGATGGGGATGATAAAGAATGTGTAATGGATGGAACGACAAGGAATGTTAACATTCATGTGATTGGATCACACCGAGCCACAAAGCCAGTAGTATCCGTGAACACTGAACAGGTCAGCTAATGGAACGGAGCAGTGCATGAAACAACCATTCACTCATCTTTTCTCCATTCCATTCCTTTTCCTTTCCCATCCTCTCTATTCTCTAACTTATTCACTTTACTAGAAATGTAACAGTGTGTCAATGAGTTACGAACACAAAGAAGTGTGAATCATTTTCCCATCTGATAGTGTTCATATAGTAAATATACCGTATCATAAATGAGTGGTAGTGTTTTGGGAGAAATAACATTCAATCTATTCTGCATTGTTTTTTTTTCTTACCTAACAAATTACTTATAATAAATAATAAAAAAAGTTTTGAAAGAAATAAGTTTAATTTGTAAAATCCTTTAAAACTTTTTCTTCGCTTCCTTTCTCTTTTTTCCTCCTTTAACTCATTCTTAATTTTTCGATTAGTAATTTTAATGACTCTTCAGTACTAAAAAGAAAAAAAAGGAGAAGCAACAATGTATATACGCGGGACATGTTAAAATCTCACATTTCAAACAACAATTTCACATTTTAATTCATCGGTTGAATTTAAGGATGTGTGCAAGATATTTTATGCTTCGACAATTAACACATTTTAAAAATTATTAATTTAAAAAAATGTTGAAAGATGAACTATATATATATATATATATTTCACAAACAACCCAAGTATTTCAAAAAAGAGAAAAAGCAACATAAGTCAAGCGTTATTCATACAGTAATAAATGGAAAACAAATAATTTTATTCGCATATTTGAAAAAATGAAACGTAAAAGTTCAAAATTAGAAATTTCATCACTGTGAATAATTTTTAGATATCGTCGATCAATATATTAAAACTTCCGAAGAAAAACTTTGTTTTTTTTAAAAAGATTTGCACTATTAATCATCATTCTTTTTTTGAGTTTTTCGTTTATTTTTGGAAAACATTTCGAGCGTCGAACTATATTTGCTCTTACTTTCTAAATTAATGCATTTTAAGCATTTAAATACGAGGAAACATAATTACTTGCTCAATTTTTTGTTACAATAAAATTTTTCACAACAAATCAAAAAGATAATTAAATTTCATACAAATCTAGTCATTGTTTTTTTGCTGATTCAATATGAAAAATGAATGATTACAGTGAAAGTTTGATAGTAAAAATGATGTGAAATATCGATAAATTTTTCAATGTTAAATTGTTGGAACACCCAAGTATTACCTGCAACCAAGCGAAATGTTTTAGCTAATCTGAGATGTGGATAAATTCATTAACTGTGCGTATCTTGGGTATCAAGCATTTTATTGGTCAATAAAATATCGGACATTTTGAAAATTAAAAATTACTACAAATTTTTTAAAATGATTGGGAGAACGGAAAAAGAGGAGTACATCGACAGTAAATGAAAAGAAAAACAAAAGGATTAAGGTGATCGCTGATACACATGAAGGATGGGATGGTAATGAATATTAGCCGTGGAACAAGGCTAATAGGAGGAAAAAAGGATCGGGAGTAGGTGTTGTCACTTCGCAGTCATCAGGAATATCGGGAAACACGACGTTTATGTACGTGTATGTGCCCGACTCCCAGTGTTATGGGTTTTATGAGCAGTTGCTGAGCAAAATCAAACGAAGCAATGAACTATGCTACCATTCGTAGCAGCAGCATCGCCATTGTCGTTCCACCGGCACATTTGACACCGGTCGATACACAATATTTTCGACGATGTTGAATCCCGATAAGCAATTCGTAGATATAACGCTAATAGAACTTAGTAAGAACTATAGTGCAATTGATGTTTGTGACACCGGTAGTAGTGATTGTAGTAAATAGTAATGTCAGGAAGCAATAAAGAAGATAATAGAGTTTGAATATGAAATATTCAGAAAAGTAAAAGGCTTTTGAAAATGTTTTTCAAGGTAAACTACGAACTGTTGTAGAGGAACATTCGGAATACATTTATCATTTTAGATAGGGAATTTATTAGATCAACGATTGTTAGGAAGGGAGAATAAAAGCAAAAATATGGGCAAGATTTTTAATAGCTTCTAATATTATGAGGCGCATTCAGCTGCAAATGTCCCAGACTTTTCCAGGATCATTTTATGATTTTGTCGCAGAATATTTGCTATCATTTTCATTTCATTCTCCTTGAATTACTAGCATTTTCTTGTCGTTGAAAAATTTTGACTCAGGCACCAGTTTTGATCCGGAGTTTTGAAAATTTTCACTTAAAACTAGAATTAAAGAATTTAAAATTGGCAGAGTATATGAAAAAGATATTGAAATTTAGGACGGTTGACGGAAGAGTAGTCCGTTCATTCTGCAAAAAGACTGATTTAATAAAAAGAGTCAAGAATTTTGAGAATCATGTTTCATTCTTTTTAAACGCAAAGGTTTATCGCATTCTTCTACTCCACTCTACATCAATTTTTGGATGTTTATGGAAATTAAACTGAATTAAAGTCAATAATTTCAAAAAATTTGATATTCGAAAGTTTCAAAAGTACACATACAAATGCATAACATAAAAGCAAATAAATTTGCATCATTCATTTAGATGAACTAAATAATAATCTCAAAAAGGTCATACTTGGAGAATGTATTGTTTCTTTAACTTACTTTATTTTCATTTTTATCAGATGATGGCTTCCTTTTCTCCAAGCCACAATATTGATTTTAATGTTTTCTTGTCAATATTTTCAGGCTTGCAATAGCGATGGCCACTATTCGCTTTTCACATATAGGCATTTTCCGCAATTTCTTCTCCTATCGCCTATTTCTGATATCCCACGCATTTCACAATCAACCTGTTTACACATACCTATTTCCGTTCTTGTTTTTGTTTTCAGTAAACAGTAATAGTTCTACAGATTTGATTTTTGTTTGAATTTCTGAATACCTCACCAGTTTACTATTTTATCATGCTTCATTTTCTGTATATCAATAGGAGCAATATCTTTCAAAAATTTCGACTCAATTTATTCTTCAGTAATTTTTTAGTGTTAGTTGTATGTGTTGTTCTCATAATTTCTGCTAGATCTTGTATGTTCAGAAGGAAATACTATCAAAAACTGATCCATTCTAATGCTGTTTTCGTTTTATTAATTTCTTACTTTACATTTTGACAATCAACTCAAATGATGACTACTTTCATATGGTTTTATCAAACTGTCATTTGTCATATTACTTTGGTGACATCCATGAAAATGTTATAGTATCACCAAATGAATATTATTTAAAGAACAGCTCACTTTTGTCCATTCGATGTTCGATTTTATCCTAATATATTTACCCAATTGTGTTTTCGTTTATTTTTAATTTTTCAAGTATTTCGGAAGAAAAGCAAAAGCGTTTGCAATTTGCAACGCTACTGAATATAATATAATATATGAAGAAAATGTACAAGTATGAAGGATGTTATTGAATTTTTATTTTAAGAAAAATGCTAGCAAAAGTCCGTTCGGCAGTTGGGGCTTATAGTTCAGTGAATAACAACAATCAGAAGAGTTCACGAAATGATGCTCAAATTGGCCTAGTAATTGATGTCACTGAAAGCGACATTTTTGGTAGCTTATTACCAGGTAAAAAAAACTTAACAATGTGAAATTAAATTTCCATTTCTTGCAAAACAATGGTATTCAAATAAGAAATATCATTTTCATCTAAAATTGAATAGTTATTATTTTCCGAATATTTTTAGAAACTAGACATATGTTAGTTTTTAGCTATAGTTCGTTCGCAGAAATTGCGTTATCCGTATACTCGGCCCGAATTTTTGCATTTTTCGGATGAAGAAATTAGCCTATCAGCAGATCAATCAACTCGTCCAGTACTATGCCCAAAGGATCCATCTAAAATGCCCGTTTACGCCGGCTACGCTGAAGTAATCAATGCCGGTAAGCCGCCTTTAGTTAATAATAGCATTTTTATTTTTTCAAAATATAATAGAATAAATTGATGGATCCATTGAGAAGTTTGCTGAAAATTATAAAAATTTTCCAGTTTTTTTATTATACTATCAAAGTCGAATGTAATAGCTAATCAATTTTGGTCAGGTAAAACAGTTCAAAATGAAGATCAAGCATCAGCGAAGCTGTTGAATTTGATACAGCAGGGATATGATGCTGAAGAAGCTCATGACTTGACAATTAATAATGTAAGAATTTTATGGCTTATTTTTGAAGCTCAAAAGGTGCCATTGCTTCTTTATTAACAAAAAATCTAATTTGAAGTTTTAAACTCTTAATATATATTTAAATATTCTATAATGTTTGTTTTAAGGTGCCAATATATTTTGAAAAAATTATTATAGAATGCACTGTTAGATAAGAAATTTCCGTAAGTATGCTTTCTAGCAACGAACAGAAAGTGAAAAATGTTCTTTATCCTCGACAGGACAAACTCTTAATGATTCCGCCAGAAATATCAACATGGCAAAACGATATGAAGATGATAATCTGATAACACTTTCTGAAAGATACATTTCCGTATGTAATAAGTTTGCCAGTCAGCACGTGTTTCATTTCACATACTTTTTTTGTTTTAATTTTTTTTCATGTATTAAACTATTCAATCTTATAATTTCCAAATAATAAGTGCCGTATTTAAATTCTTTTTTGCATCAAATTCTTCGTTAAATTTACTCGAATCGATTAGATAAATATCATTTTACTATGTGATTTTATCGATTCTTTTATGGGTAGAAAAATATAGAATTAATATCAAAATGCATATCATCTACAGAAACTACTTGAATGTTTAAATGCGCCTTTCATCTTATTGGATAGAAAATTTGTTTGAGAGATGTTTTCCTATTTTTTGTGTAAAATATAAAAATTATCACAGAGTATCGATGGTCACGCAATAGAAAAAGCGGAGGCTACTTTCTTTGCTATATTTGATGGACATGCAGGAAGTGGCGCTGCAGTTATGTCTTCCAATTGCCTTCATGAGCATATACGAGTTTGTTAATTTGAACATTTTCAATGATTCCAAAAATTCATCCTTTTTGCAATAACTCGAAGTTAAGTCAGTTCTATTTGTTATTATTAAAATGAAGCATGTTATATTGGATTTGCTTTTTAATTTTCAAAAAGTTATTTTTTTTAGAATCGATTGTGCCAAGTACTGGAGGCAGTATTCCATTTGAAGAGACAGGAAGCATTTTTTGGATATTCCATTCAATCACCTTGCTCCTATGCTTTATTGAGCGCATACGGTCCATCATATTCAAATTGTAATATTACATGTGATAGCCTTATTGTTGGAGCTATCGAAACTGCATTTATCGATATGGTGACTGAATTTCGAAATTATTTGAAATATTTTTATTTAAAATGTATCATTTAATCCTCATAATTCAAATTTCGGTTTAGTCTGTTAAGATAAAAAGAAGCTATAATGGATAGGCTTTCCAAATATATTTCTTACTTTTTTATTTTACAGGATGATCAAATAGCAGAAGAAAAGCAACTATGGAGAATACGTGGTGGTTGTACAGCAATTGCAGCATTATTTTTTCTCGGTAAAATATATGTTGCAAATGCAGGTGACTGTCGGGCGCTATTAATAACAACAAATGACACTCAACAGTTGAGTCACGACTTCACACCAGGAACGGAGCGTAAACGATTACAATTCCTAGCAAGTCTTTTTTTGTGTCAGAAGTTTTGATTAACGGACTCAACTTATATTTCCAATGTAAATTTTTGCTTAACTTTATTAAGCAAACGAAAAAACCACTTTAATGAAGCATATCTTATTGAATTTCTCATATGACTTTGATTTTCAAATTTTGATTTACACAAATGTTACTAGACAGATTTTCAAACTTTTAATGACAATTTCAATTAAATGAATGAATACAGTCAAAATTGAAATTGTTTTCCCGTTTACCTAATAGTACACCTGCGCTACGTTCATCATAACATTTGGCGTTGTTACACGAATCTACTATTTCCGCTCCTTTCAAATACAACTTTTCACAATATTACATTATTCTCTTTGCTTTTTCACACTGCTAATCTGTACTCTTCACCTTGAAAGCTTTTTAAATCTTTGAGATTTCTAGGATAATTTTTGACTTGGAAAGTTATTGATTGTAATATCTTCATAAATATTGTGACAGACGATATACAAATATCATATGATACACGCAATGTGATATTCTACCACAGAACTTCGTGCAGAATATAAATAAAGTTAAAGGAAAAGAAACAAATTGCTCATATTTTAACTCATATTTATAGGCTTACACAAATCCTAATTTGATATCGAACTGTTTCACACGTTACGAATACAATCGCTTTCTAACACGGAACGATTTGAGGAGAAAAGTACTTTATCGTGATTGGTTCATGGATGGATGGTTAGTTACTTTATGTTTTTATATCACATAAGAAATTAATAGAATACGACTTAGTTTTGGTAAATTAGATCCTAATTTGTACAGTTTCATTTTTAATCTCTTGTTGCAGGGCTGCAAAAACTGTTCGAGAATCAGATTTGAAAATGCCTTTAATTAGTGAATGTGGTAAAAAGGTTGGTTATGTTTTGTACACAGAAGTTATATTTTTTAAATCTCCGTCATGCTAAGAAAGTGGCAGGAAAGAACTGAAAATATTAAAACTTGGTATTCATTAGCATCTTTTAAATTATTGCATGTCATATTAATAAATTTAAATAGAAAGAATTAAATAGAGCACTAGAAGTAGATGTTCCTCCTGCTCACCATTTAATTACTGGTGAATCATTGTTTCAACTACTATGAACTAAATATTGTAAGATAGAGATAAGTACTATCCTAAAAAGGTTACTGATCGTTATTAAATATTATCTAAGTAATGTCCACGTCGAAAAAAAGCTTATTTGTAGCATGACTTCAATAGAAGAATAAAAACAAGTTAAGAATGGAACCTAAGAGATATTAATCACTAGTGGAAAGGTTTATTTGCGACAAAGAGATGACCTTGCAGGTATAAAGGATACAAGTTAAAGTGATAGACATAGGAATTACGATTGCATCAGCCAATCCCTTTTTTTTTCTTCAGCGTCGCTTATTAAACACAATTGGTGTTAGCCGTGGTTTCGGTGATCATCACTTGTTCACTGCCGACAATAAAATTCCAATTAAACCATTTCTGTCACCAGTACCGGAGGTTTTCTTCTGATTTATTTTTAAATTCAGAAGTAAGTAAAGTAAAAATTTTTTCCATGGAAGCCAATTTTGTTTATCAGAGAATGATTTCTGAAGGAAACTATTATATTCTTCAATTGTATTCCGAAGCTCTGTACATATAAATCAAATAGAATTTTCAAACACTTTGAATGTGTCATTCACAATCACACAAACTTAGTTATATTTTTTAACCTTGAAATTATTTCACGTCTTTAAATTACTTTACTTTCAATGAAATCAATACTGCATTGTTGTCATTTATATAAGAGAGTATTAAATTGTATAAATTACAGATAAAAGTTTTGGACCTTCGTAAACTTAGTTCATTATGCGATAATGATGTTCTCGTGCTGGCATCGGATGGCCTATGGGATGCTTTAGATAACGATGATGTATCAATGATTGTAAAAACTGCACTGAATAATTCTAAATCTACTGATTACCTAAAGTTATTTTTAATATATACTTAGAAGTTTGTCACTCAAATTTTTAAAAATATGGGAGTATAATAAAATATCTTTAGGAGTACCTGACAAATTCGGTAATAAAAGAAAGCCAACTTTTCAAAGGGTAAAGTGATTAGTCATTCAAAAGTATTTAAAGTTCAGATTAGTATATTTCCAGACAATTAGGTAATTGGTTCAATTTTGGTCTAATCAATGAAGACCCTAATGGCAAATATCAATATTTTGGAATTATTAAAGTTAAATTCAATTTAGATACACGATAGCAGCGCAAGAACTCGCTGTTGCAGCACGAGGTAATCCAACAGAATCTTATCGATGGCAAATGTCTGATGGAGGTTACGCTTCCACCGATGATATCACTGTTTTTATTGTTCCATTGAAGCATGCTTTAGAAATGAGATCCGCAGATGATAATGATTTGGAATTATTTCAGTAATTGGGTGATTAAGTGAGCTTAGCTTTCATGAGAGACTTCTGTTATAAGTGATGGAAATCTGATTACGATCGAATCAATAGACTAAAATCTGAAAAGATGGTCTAAACATTAAAAAACATTATGTGAAATGAAATTGTATTTTCTTTGTATAAAGTTTGGCTTTCAAAAGTTTTCGCACTGAACATGAATATGGTTATTCTTGACTAATATCTTCCAAACGTTGATGCAAACTTCGCGGTATTAGTGTGAGGTTCACCGATACGACACGAAAGAACACGAAATTATTAGTTTCATTTCTTCTATCCCTCACTCTATCAGCCTATCTATTCTCCACTCACTGCTTCGGGAGGCATACACAAAATAAAAAGCTCAAAAAAAGTTTATAAATAATACCCAGCTGTCTTATTAATCGAACTGTAACGCTACCCATTCCATCCTTTTTTCGGATAATATTAATTAATGATGTTGTCGTTGTTCATCGATGAGTCACCAGCATTTCGGCGCCAGATTGTCGATTCTGTCCCTGTCATCGTGCATCTCTCACGTGCACCTCACCTACAAGGCACACCCACCCACACACATATACACACGCGACTGATTCTCTCTCCTTTGTAAATCACTTCGAAGAAGTTCAGGGCTCTTAATCTTCATTCATTAGATTAGTGAAAATATCTATCTATCTATTTTTTTTTTTATGATGACATGTTTATATTATTGTGTTGTCACATTTGTCACATTTTATAGCTGATCATTTGAAAAAAATTTTCTGGTTTTAATTATATCGAAATAGAATTATGAAGATATTTGTTTTTTTTTTTAAAAAATAATCAGCCAATAAAATAGTGTGTTCTGAGGAAGTTATTTGCACACTTGTGAAATTTACAAGAACAAAAGAGAAAATTTTCCTTTCCATTTCCACTACGGTTTGAACAGAAATAATTGGAACAACGATTGACAGCCAACAGAATCGATTTCAGTATGAATCATCCTTACAAATATATGACTTCGTTATTTTGACCTTGATAGCCGATTTATTGGTAAATGCTTCAAACTATTCATTGGCAATATGAACTACTGTTTCATGGCGGATGATGATCTCATTCCCAACGATATTAAACCGTTAAACTGGCAGTGATGAATTCATTTATAGCACTTAGTCAATATTTTAAAAAAATAGATATTGAACTTGGCATTCCCAGAACGGTTTTATTTTCTTTCATTTTTATTTCTAAAAATTCATTATCGAAACATGTAAACTTGTAGACTTTCAATCCATGGTTCGACCTTACAGCTTATATTGTTAACTGTATTGCAATTTGTATTGAATAATTTGCAAAAATGTTGACCAAAATGTGACCAGTAGATTGTCGATAAAAACAAAAGAACGTCGTGTTACGCTTATTGCGACTGATAAGAAAGGATGATATGTTTGATATATTGATAAGACAGAGTTGAAATATCTTTGCAATATACCCAAATTGAATATGCTCCATGAAATTGACTCATAGTCTTTTTGTAAAAAAAAACGAAATAAAGTTCATTACTTACATTTTTCAAATTTCTCTGTATTAAATACCACTAAGCTATAATTTCTCCTTGGACAGACAGTCTATCCATTCTTTCGTCACCACAATGCTTTTTTCACTTAAAACGATTTTTACTATGATGCATTTATTTATGCATGAATGCGTGCTTCCCATTTATAATGACAACTGTAAATTTCTCTTACTTCTCTTTCACTATTAGTTTTAAAATCACTAAACTCTTCTTATTATTTCGTTTTCATTTATCATGGATATCTAAATGATTCATTGCAAAAGGAGGCCACCGGGCAATATGGTTAATTTTATCTTTAATAATTTTCAACATTTTCTTTTTTTGGGAATTGACATTTCAAATTACAGTTTATGAACTTATGAAACTCTTTAAATTTACAGCATTACACAACATTTATTAATATATCGTTTGCGTGATGATAGATTGCGGCAAATTTATTCATTGAAACTGTCCAAGTGAAGACTGAGAGTGGAAAAATGCTTAAAATTTGATGAAATCTACTTTCATAGCATAATAGAAGGAAGATAACATTCATGATAATGCCCACGCCACTACTAATAAAAGCTTAGTGAGTATAAACATTTTGACTTTATTAGCTAATTATGACTGAACTGCTGTCGTATACTTGTAATGGTTTATCATCCAATAGTTAACAATTGCTAGATGTGTCTGTTAAAAATTTTGATTAAATTCAAATATTTCAGTGGATAAAATTACATTGCCTCTTATAGCACTTTTCATTTTTTTCCAAATTTGTTATTAATTTCCTTTATTCATATTAAAAAGATTGAAACTTATGATAATCTTCCAAAGCAATTTAAATGAAAAAGATGGAATACTTTGTGAAATGTTTAATCTCCCGCTAATTTTATTACCATTTTCTGCTAAAATTTCTTTCTTTTTTCGACTGGTATAATGCAAAAGTCAGTCATTTCCTTTTATTCAATTTTCTCCCTTAACATTTCCATTTCTGCAATTATTTGTTGTATTTGCTTTGCATTGGATGTTGAATTCTGAGCTTCTTTGAGCTGATTAATAACTTGGTTATTGATCATCTTGTTGTTATGCTAGGCTAGTTAGATATCTTAGAATTTGCTCGCTTTTATGACAGCCTGAATTTTATGCCCAAATCTTTGATTTTTTCCTTCCTTTCCCGAATGCAACCTTTCAATTCTTTGTATTTTGTGATAAAAAATGCTTTTAATTTAGCTACAGCGAATCGACACAGAAGCAAAAAAGCGATATGATGAAGCAAGCTATTGTTTTGTAACGCATAGCAACTGTCTTTTTCAAAGCCATTACATGAAATTATTTTAGGCCTAGAAAGCATTCGTCGATTATGCCATTGAATTCACTGTATCAGTCATTTTCTATGTTTTTGTTCATCATAAATGAGGGCTCTGTTTGGATAGCTGGCAGTCCTCATTTTGATGAAAGAATAGTACTTTCAGGTGACACAAATGAAAACAGTTTGAAGTTTGAAGTTTCAAATGGTATATTTAAATTCATATTTTCGCCTTTCATAAGATTAGGGAAGGAATAGCTGAAAAATGAAATGAAGTGGTAAATATTAGTCGCTATACATAAATTTTTTTTTTCTTAGTAATTTGGAAATGTAGAAATTTTCTCAGCAATTTAGTAAGTATTTTAGCAGTCCATTTTAGACCGATTTTTATTTAGGCATAACAATGAAACGAGTACATCGAGATGTTGGAGCACTGAGTACGCCATTGGTCGGTGCTTTTGTAACCGGCATCATTGGTAAATTGTTGTGACTTTTCCCAAATTTCTTTCACTGAAATTGAAAATAAATGTTTGAAAAAGGACATTCCGAAAGACAAATATAAAATAGATTAACGGAAAGGTGGGGGATTTTCATAAGTTTTTGAAAAGGGGTTTAAAATTACTTACTAAAAGGTAAGCTTAGGACGTAAGAAGAGACACGTACGTGTGAAGAAGGATGCGGAGCCAGTAATTGAGGCCGTTCTTCATGGCATCATTGGTACGCTTGTTATCAATTTTCGTAGTGGTTGCTGTAAATGAAAATATCTACAAATGTATGGTGTATATGGGAATAAAGGTAATCTAAATTGCCTTCCCATAATGGTAGTAGGAATTTTCCTAAATTACTGCATTGTTAGACGTGTCAAAGCGCTACGATCTCTTCTCATATATAATACGGAAAAGACTTGATTGCAAAAGTCTTCGCTGATATTTCCATTCTTAATGTGAGATAACGACCAACATATCGTTGAGTTTAGAGGTCGGGAACTGCCAAGATTTTCCATTTCGAAAACTTTGATATAACTGCTACCAAAAGTTATTTTTGGTCTCGAAAGCAAATTATAGATTTTATTAGCACTGTGCAAGCGTTTTTATTTGCACCTCTCACTCTTCCGCTTTATTTTGCTCCAAGTTTCGGGAAACAACTACCATTTTTATTCGAAAAGAAAGTTGATTTGAGGAATGACAGCCAAAGCAGTCTCAGATTTAACGGCTTATCATCCATATCCTTCGGATGGTGGTTGTAAATGGTTCGGTACAGCTCCATTTTGTAATGGACACTGTCAAACAGAATATGACTATATCCGAAATAGCAATGGACGTTGCAGTAATTGGTGGTTTGCTGGAGTATGTAAACCCGATCCAAGTTTTGGCGAGCCATGTAGTACTATTTTGGGTGGAAACTTTAAAAAACGTTTTTGCTGCAAGTAAGTTTACCATCCTTAGTTTGATATAATTTTAATACACAGTGCTCGCGAAACATTAGCAGTGTGTCCCATCTGATTTTCCGAAATTTTTATTAATTAATTGATTTTAGGAGTGATCCATCTGAATGTACATGGAGTGGTCGCTGGATGGGTGCATTTACTGCACATAATATTTACTGTCGATACGACAATCACGGTCACTGCGGTCATCTGGATTGTTCTGTAAATCATTTCAATTATCAGGTAATCTTTTTATGCTTCAAACAATTCTCCTTTTTTTCATTTTTATTTTCTTCCAACCAGAATTTTTCAAATTTCAAAAGAGTTTTTCATATTTAACTTTTTTATTCATTAAATGAATGTGATTTTTGTTTGGACTTTATAATTTTTTTTCTTTGGTTTATGGGTTAAATTATTCAAAGAGATTAAGTATGAAATTCCGTTGCTTGTTGGCATCATTTCAGGCTCAAAATTCAACTGAAATTAGTGGCGAACGTTGCGATCAAGTTTCACTGTTTGGTCTAAAGGGTAAGGCAACATGTGGTTATATTTCATGGTTTGATGATAGTGGAACTCTTGTTGACAGCTGGTATAAAAGTAAATAAAATATCATTAATAACTATAATTCTCTATCAAATACTTTATTTTATTCAGTGCCTAACAAAGCATTTATTATTCGTTATCCTATCATGTATTGAAGATTAATCCACGTACCTTATGTGCTACCTAAACTGATGCAGTTCAAGTAGTACATAAGATATATTAGTAGGTATATTAATATTAATAAAGACACTCTTAGTTATCGTTACTATCAGTTATCATTTAGATAAATGATGTGCTTAGAGAAAATAATATATTATTTTGAAATTAGTAAAGATTTAAATAACATTCATATTTATAATGTTTGATGCTCAAATGATTTAAAGGACCTCAACGAATCAGTACTTTTTTCTTTTTTTGTATTTACTACATTTTGTAGATTTTGCTTAATTTATCAATTTTTGGATTGTTAATGAAAAAATTTATTTTCCTTAGACACCTTAGACACCGTTTTAATTTTCTATGTAAACCTTCAATCTGTAATATTCTGCAATCTTTAAATGACAATTAATCATAAACGTTAAAAGATGAAAAAACTTATGCAGATTACTACTTTTTACAGCGGAAGCCAAACCTATATGGTGATATTTCTTCAAGTAATTTCAGCTTTTTAAAGTAATATCTCCGGAATTAAATGTAAAAGGCATTGAAAATTAACGTTGGCATATTGTCATCAAAAAACAAAAAAATTACAAATAAATTTTTTTTCATTTGCGGAGAAAGGATTTTAATTTCCAATGAGTTAATGATCTTTGAAGAATTTCAGCCAATAAAATCCAATTTAATTGCGTTATTGAGGTTTGGTATATGCAATCAAAAAAACAATAAAATGATTTCTCTTTTTTTGTATTCTATCAGCAAATTAAAAAGATATCTTTCACTAATAAAGATTATAAGTAGCAGAATGGTTATAAAATAATTTTTAAATGGATTATTGACTTGGATAATTTCTATAGTGCTATTGCATTTAATTTTAAATAAATTGTTAAAACTGAGAAACTCTACCCTCTGGTTAAATACAGGAATAGCACTCAGTGTCCATTCAATTCTCTTTGGGACATTGGTAGTATTTGCATTTTCCGATCTTAGAATGCGAATAAATTATTTGCTAATTTTGCCAGCCAAATCCAAAATTCATTTATCACAAAGCAGGAAATATTTTATTGTAGCACTCGTGCACTGAATTGTTGGTTTAGTTAATTTAATGAATTTCGTTGGCGTAATAATCGCGGCATGAAATTTTATATTTAAATTTTTTGTTATGTTGGTTTCACTTCCACAAATTGATAAACAACTAATTCTTAAATATAATTTTTTATCGAGAGCAACTATTGATTTTATAAGAAAATCAAGTTATAACCATTTCTCTTCCATATTATTAAAACAAACGTTAATATTTTTCGAATTTTAATACTAATCCAGAAAATCCGTGGATGGAATTTAGCAGTTTTTAAACATAGAAATCACATGTCAGTTTGTTAACGGAAAACTTAAGTATGAACTTTTAGCCAATTGAATATATATGTTAGGAAGAGTGAATATGATTAAAATTTGATTAGTTGTTCTTGGGCTAAAACTTGAATTCAAGTTTTCTTTCTGGCTAAATTTCTGTTATGATTTTTCAGTTGATAGGAGCAGTGAAAATGATGATAACAACAAACCATTGATGTCACTTTAAATGATGAATCAGATAGATGGTTCATTTTTCAAATTGTGTTTATAAAAAATTTATTTTCTTGCATAAAATTGCGCTAAATCATCATAATATTATAAACAAACCAAAGATAAAAGATCTCCTGACAAATTATTTTTTTGAGAATATTTGCCATTTTATTACGACTAGTGAACAACCAACTAAAATAATTTTCCATGAATCCCTTTCATTTCTAATGAAGAGAGTACGAGATATATTTTCAACACAGCAAATTAGATAAGATTAGTGAATCGGAATTAATCATAGAATGCTGAAGAAGGCAAACTCACTATATTTTTTTTGAAAAATTGAAAAGTCTTTGGTATATGAAATGCAGGATATTGAATTTTTAAAACACAACTGAAATTCAGAAACATTGATCAATATCCACTTGTCACTTCAATTCTATTAAATTTTTGTAATTTTCAATAACCATGAAACGAATAACGGAAAATTTTGATTCATTAACAAAAATGTCCTCGTTTACAATCCTTTGAACAAACAGATTATTCTTCTATTGAACATCGAAGAACTATGCCACCTCTGTTTTATCATTGAATTATTCAAGCAATTTAATAAAACGACACGAGTTCCCACTGTAGGAATGAGAATCGCATCACTGAGAACTTACAATGAGAAGTAGTATCGTCTTACTAAAATACTTAAATTATAAATTTATATATTTTCACCACGCACTATCCATTTACTGGAAAAACAAATGCTGCCTTTCAACTCTTGAACTTCCATCATTTCCAGACCTCTCTTGCCAATCATACCCTATGTATTAATACTTCAATTTAAAACAACAGTATCAGTTTCTCGTTTTCAAGAATGCCAAGCAAACTGCAATATATTGAACGCAATTTCAAGACTTTAGTAAATTTCAAAGTTATTTCAGCTATATTTGATGTGTACAATTCGCAACGACAAAATTTATTCGAATAGATTAAAACTTCATGAAGCGGGCCAATTTTGGTAGCAAAAACTTCCACACTATATAATGCGTATTGATTTTGCATCTCGAGAGTTTAACTTTCTTTCATATATCTTTTGAATGAGATTAGTGTTCCTGTTCCTCATTTATTTTATTATAGCAATTAGCAGTTCTCATACCTAACACTTTGAGTATGTTTTGCAAGAATCTCAACACGATGTAATAAATATCAGGAGATAGATGATGGAAATTTATAAATTTCAATATTAAATAAAATTCCAAGAATATAATAAAGCAATTCTGACCAATCGCAAGGGATAATGAGAATGTGTACGTCGAAATCTTCAATTAAATATACTACATTAGATGTGTCATGTGTAAACATATTTTTCATTTATAAATAATTGCTACGCAAAGGACAATAATGCAATGAGAAAATGACAAACGAATTCAATTTTTCCTCGTCTACATGAATACATAATAATTTAATGGGAATTAAGAAATATTTTAATTGGTGTTCAAAGACAATTTAAAAACTTCGAAAACATTCGTTCAGACGAAATATGACAAAAATAGAGTTCTTTTTAACATACTATAGTGTTAAAATTCTAAAAAAGTGAAAATTTTTACAAAGATAACAGCTATAAATAAAAAATGACTTATAAATTCGATAAAGATATCCCGTACATAAAACAATGCAGCTGCAAAAGTTATGTCGATGCACAAACTGATATATGATTGATGGAAAAACAATAACATGATCTATACGACACCCAAACGATTATGAATTTTACAAACTGGAAACTAACAATATAATTTATTTCTGAAGAATATCGGTCATGGAAAAAGTCATGAAGTCATACCTTATGAAGTGTTCCGAGAAAAAGAGGCAAGATAACGGCATGAAGAATTATGAAAAAAGCCATAATAACGATTAATTGCTGTTGTGTTACAGCTACATTGGTTCTGCTTTCAAATTTTGTTTCTAAACGTTGTAAGAACTGCACAGTACGATCCAAAGTGTCCTTTTAAAAAAATATGATGAAAAATTTTCAACAAGGATAACTTACAGAATCAACATTGTAAAAATTCCGAACTATTACAATTATTTTTTGTCGAAATGCAGAGCTCAAATCTTATTTGTCATTCAAAGGAAATAAAGAAAGCCCAATTTCATCGCGCAAAGTTATAGTCTTTAAAGATTTAAAAGTTTAGGTGTTGAAACATTTTAAAAAGTCAATTAAAAAACTTTACTTGCACTTGTTGTAAGCGATCAAATTCTCGTAAACTATGTCGTTTCTTCTTCGGATGATATTGCTTATCTGTGAAATTAGAGTATAAGAAACGAATAATGAAAAATTAAATTCTTTGCAAAATGCAAACTAAACAGAAAAGAAAATAGGAGATAAAAAAACAAATTTTGAAACACAGCGCATTTTCGCATTTTATAATGAAAAATTAAAGTATGAAAAGTCCGTCATTACATTTATTTCAAAAATTTCCTGACCATTTTAATAAGTTTTGCGAAACTATTTGTATAAAGATTCGAACTATTCCATCCACTTAAAAAAATAACATACTTCCGGGTGAATCAGAATCTTCAGATTGTTCTTGCTGCACTGAAGCTGAACTCGCCGGTGAAGCAGACCGTTCTTTAGTTCCATGTTTAGTTTTTGTTCGTATTACATAATCATGCTCAATTTGACGAATATCATCATTTTCATCCCATGCTTGATAACTGTAATGAGTTCATTACTGGACTGAAGGCTTTTAAAAAATTTATACTATGTTTTTCCGGAAAACGATATGCTAGAATCAAGCATAAACTTAATAACATCGAGTTACAAGCCTTCACTTCAGATAAAAGCCATATAAAAACTGCTGACTAAACTGTTTTTGTAAATTTAATATTAATATTGTGATGTATAATTTAAGGATTACCACCCACCTATGGACAGCTCTTAAATTACGAAACACTTTGACATCCTTGCATTAGCAAATTATTATCTCATATAACTCCTGATCTTTTCAACTGCGATTAACATGTGACGTTTTGAAATCATGGCAATACTGCTCACAAATTGAAAAAAAGAAACTGACATGACTTACAAAAAAATTGAATAAATAAAAGAGTTACTAACTCAGCGTGTATATATTCATAATTTTTCGATAGCAAATCCTGCTTGAACCACTTAGGTTTGTGGTGTACTCCAGATTTCGCGCGAGCGCGTTGTTCATTCTCTAATTTACTTTTTTCTTCAGTGGCAGCTTTCTGATTATCTTGAGCTATCGCTTCACTTACTTTCAACCATAACCTTAACCGAAGACTAATAATCTTATAATTGTCACCAACTTTACCATTCACTAATCAAAAATCAGAAACTTCTATGATGGAAAAATAAACACTTCTTTGACTCCCATTCACCCTGCTCTTCCAAGAGAATTTCGTAACGTTTAAGTCGTTTTGCAATTACATCAGGTGTTGGTGACCATAAAAGTGTCTTTACATCCTGCAAGAAAAATGCCGAAAATTCATGATTTTCGAATAAACTTGTTCACACTAACATCTGTATATGGATCGTTATAATATTACACTTAATGTATAATTTTGTTTGATCTTTATCAATTCTTCCAACAAAGTTAAATGCTTTTGACAGTGCTGTAATAACCTAAAGACACAAAAGATTTAAAGATGTTACAGCACTATCAAACTTAAAGTCATATTCCCGCCTGATTAAATGTGAGATTTGGTATAAGCGCAATAAACTACTGTACACCAATCAATGACAATGCTTCAAAAGACTACCATTTACCTTTTCGCTTATATAAATTTCGCTATCCCAAGCTCCTTCAATATGCGCAACCGATTCTTTTTTACATTTGATATCACCCGTAATAAGATTTACCATTCCTCCAATGAATGGTTTTAATTTGAAATCAAGTTCGCATACATAATCGGTACGATTGCACTCTATTCTTACCTCAAATGAACTTTTAATATCAATATGGTTGCCGAAAACAACCGATGATTTTATAACTCCATTAAAAAAGGATTTCATGTCAAAATTCGGATTCATATCGTTTTAAAAGCTTATAAATTTATAAATTACTTCCCAATCACCTTTATTTCTGGATTCAGATTATCAAAAATAACATGCTGACAAATTGAAAATAAGAGATCCACCTGACCACCGTATTCCATTGACAATGTTCCAATCATGATACCTTTACAGCTAGCATATGGAAGGGTAGCAATATATGTTTCACCCCGTTGCAAAAGTGTTATTCGTACGTCACCAATCATCATAGCCGATAAACTATTCCCGTAGTATTTGCTTTTTGCCAGTATTGTACCCGATATATTGAAACCTGCTTTTCGATTTGTTAGGAAAAGGGCCGAAACTGGTGGATGATGAGAGACCTAGAATGGAGAGATTTCAATCAAATCGACCATTATTAATTTGGCATTTGCACTAAATTTAATTTGAAAAAATTGGTAATGTCTGTTCGAGAACGCGGACAATTTTTGACATTGATAAATTTAGTGGAGGCATACTAAACATTTATTTATAAATCACCAAAATAAGATCAAAACAAAAAGTTCCATAAAATAATTCTGGCTCACAATGCAAAAAAATTCTGCAAAAAAGCACTCGAATAATGTGGTTAAGACTGAAAAATCAACCTGTTCAGCAATATAGTAAGATGTCGAATTGTCGGGATGTTCCCATTTACATCGAAATGTTTCTCCTAATATCGGATTATATGGTTTTTTCAAGCCTTTTGGTTTCTTGTAAAATCCGCTCAAATAAAATTTTACAATCGTCTTCATTCTTTGTAAGGGATCATCCTCAGTAGTAGCTCTAAAATGTTATTCAGAATAAAAAAAAATCTTTACAAATTAGATAAAGCGAAATGGAGAAGTAAGCATCTTATTTCTCTTTTTATGACACCAAATATCAATTTTACTATCTTTAATGAAAAGATAAGAAAACTTGCTCGGCAATAATATATGAGTGATAATAGAAATCTGCAAGTTTTTCGAGGAACGAACGCGGTTCCAAAATGAATGTAGGCAAAGTAACTTTTGAAAGATCCATTCCAGGTCGTACTTGTTTCAGCAAACTCCATACAAGACTTTTGTTTTCATCAGCAAGATCTTCGACTTGTACTGTTGGCCCAAACTAAATAAAATCTTAGCAGTTAAAGCCATGTAAATAGTAGTAGTTCCGAATTCCTCTAATAGAATTTGTCGTTTTTGTCTTTTATAAACCAGAACCACTTCAAATTCAAGATGTAATTCTTCGATGAAATTAATAACAATGAAATAATAGACTAAAAAAGAAACCTGTTCTGGATCCGACTGAATATATGAACTCTCTTCTTCACAATCAATGGTTTCGTCGTCACTATCTGATACTACCCGATCAATATCATCATTCAAGCCTTCAGTTAGTAATATAAAAATTACGAAATGAAAGTGCTTAGTCAAGATTGATACTATACCATGAGTAATTAATGTTAAAATAAGACCTAGCATTTATGAGTAAAGCAATAGAACAAATCTTCCCAACCATCAAAATGTTTTTCCGCTTCAACCTCGTTGAATTCTGCAGAACTTTCAACGGTATCATTACATGAAATATCGCCAAAGGCATTCTGTTCATCGACAGTTGTTTCTTCTCCTTTTTGATTACAGTCAGAAAGCTAAATTTTCAATAGGAGATATTTATTTTCTATCACGCATTTTCTAAAACTGTACATTAAATTGAATAACTGAACCGTCAAATATGCAGTGAATTCAATATTTTCATATAATAACTATGAAGATTTTAAGAATTAAAGCATTACTTTACACATAGTCCTCATTAAGAGACCGCTACAACGAAGAGTCAAATGCAAAGCATCCATCCAACAGCCACCTGCCTAAACACACAATATATTAAAGTGGAATTTTAATTCTCAACAGAACCGATCCATTAGTTTTAGAGATCCAAAGAACATCTGACTTTTGGAATTTCAATTAAGGATAAGTGTGCATCAAAAATAAAATTTATCTACAAATGAGTTATAGAATCACAAGGCTCAAACAGATACAACATAAAACAATTAATTATTATTTACTACCTGCTCAGATGGTGCTCGACAAATCAAATAAGTAGTAGGTAAGGGTTGGATTGTAACCACACCATGACTTTCACCTAACGGTCCACGTGTTGCCCATATACTCTGATCCATTGGATGAAACAGTTTGAAGCAAAATCCGTCCTTTTTCGATGGTCTTTCGATTAGCTCACAGTTGTTCAACAATACTGTACCAATCCAGTGACCCGGCTTAAAAAGCAATAAAAATTTGGATTGACGAAGAATAAAACCCTCAGAAAAAAAAACTTTAAAATTCTTTGCATAAATTATTTATTCTTCCAATGGGAGATGCATATATTGTAATCATATTTTACGATTGGAATTAATGACATTTCCTGTTTTTCCAATTATTTGTTAAAGAATTAATCAATAATAAAATAAATGATTACGAATGTAATACCTTATCGACCTTGTTGCTTTTATAAACAAGCAATAAACCCGGCTTCAGTATGCAAAAATATCGATTCCATTTCCTTAAAGTTCCACGAACTTTTAGCCAATCAGCCATAACAACAATTGTAGGATCATGCAAAGCTGTAAGCAGCTCTCGTGTAACTCGTTTTTTTTCATCACGATATTCCCGCTTTTGCTTCTAAAAAATTCAAATCAGTTCGATTCTCCAGAGCTACATTTAAAGTTAAAAATTTCTAATCTTATGTGTCCCAAAAATTCCCCAAAAAAAAAACTTCACTTAATGGAACTAAAGGTTGACATTTGAATTCACCATATCAATTTAAATGCAATATTCTATAGTTGGAGATAACAATAGCAGAATCTTTTTGGTAAAAATGAAACCTTCAAATTTATCTTTCGATCATCAACATTCTCATTATCATTGGCTGCACTGCATCTTTGGTCCAAATTTAACGGTGATTCGGTTGGGGTCAAATTTGTCATGACTATATTTGATGAAGTGCTTCCTCAGCTATTTCTATCCTTCATTTATTATGTGCTAACTTTTCATTACTTCAATGCCTGAAAATATTTCATTGTTGCACTTATTTGTCAGCTAAAATCGAGTCCGAAATAAGTCAGCAACAATACCTATGAAAAGCACAGACGACACGAAAAAAAAAGACGATAGATAGAACACAAAACTTCACGTCTAGCAAAAGCTATTTACTGGCAATAATATCTCGCATATTATTGATACCAATATTTGAACATATTGAGCAGGACAAACACACACACGCGCGCATACACGCACATACACACACATACATATACACATGTACATATACACACATACATATACACACATCATATGCATACATACATACACATATATTTATATGCACACATATATATATATACACACCTACGATCACGTAGACAAACGTATCAATAACATATATACAGAGAAACAGTGAGTTGCTATATGTGCGTGTGTATGTGTGTACGTTATGTATGTATGTATGTGTGTATGTATGTATGTGTGTATGTATGTATGTGTGTATGTATGTATGTGTGTATGTATGTATGTGTGTATGTATGTATGTGTGTATGT